AGAGCGGGGCAGTCAGGAGAGCTCTTGAGGCCTCCCTTACCAATGCACTCCACATTAGACCGAATGCGGATCCAGCCACCTGTGCCGTTTCTCCCCATCCAGACTTCTCTGTACACAGGTTTCCCATGACTCACGGACCAGACTTCACTGGCACATTTGACCTCCGTAAAGGATGGCTGCAGACCCTCAGGGCAGCTCAGCACCACCTCTTCATTCTTCTGGTAAGTCACACGGTCCGGTACCAGTTGGAGTCTTTGATCCCACTGGGGATGTTGGCACGCTTCTGGCAGAGGCAAAGGGTGGTGCATGTTAGTCAGGGTTGTGGGGTGACCAGGTGGGGCACGGGGGATGATAGGGGTGTAGGAATCAGCTCTGATGGAGTCTAGTCCTCTAAAGGGAGAGGGGAAGGTGACACGTCCCTTGGTCATGACAGGACACCTCAGCCAGGCCTGGTGGGAGGTAGCTCTCCTTGTGCACATGAAGCAGGACTGACCACTCCTCCATGAACTTCTCTGCTGTGCCCTTGTGCCCATGGACACCCTTAGCCCTCCACCACACCCCGCAACAAAGATTCCTGAGAGAATCACCCCTGCAAGAGCAGGCCTCCCCTCCTTCCACTCCTTTTCACCTGCCGCCCTCCCAGCATAGGCTGCTGACCGCACACCAGCCCCCAGGTCAGCCTGTCCTCCCAGACCCGATGCATGGCCACTGCTGCTGGGCTGCAGCTCTCTCCAGCCATGGCTCTTCCTCCCTCCCAAAGGCATGGCAGATGCCCCCCTGCCCCGATGCCTTGTCACTCGCTGCCGGAGAAATAACACAGCTCTTCTGGGTCTCACTCTGTCCCTCTGCTGCTCCCTTCCTGCCCATTCCCCCCTGCAGCTTGGACATGGGGCCTTCTCCATTCAGGCCCTCTGCTTTACCCCTGCCCCTTTGCCGTGCCACAAGCCCTGCTTCCTCATCCTCTGTCTTCCTCCTGGGGTGAGGACGGCCCAGGTAGAGAGCAGGCCCACAGCCTGTCCCAGCAGTGTGCTGAGTGCTGCAAGGACAGGTTTTGTTGTAAGGATTCCTGCAGGCAGTGATGCTGGCACCTACAAAGGGAGCACTTCCCCATCCCAGCCTCTGCAAGGGTCTCTGAAAATCCTCACAGTGCCTAAAATATGAATTTCCCTATCTTAACGGGACATAGAATGTGTCTGACAAGTTTCATATCATCTTTTGAAAAGCCACAAAGAGGTACAAACCTTGCTGTGAAGCAAAATCCTAGCAGGAGAAGGTTTTATTTTCGAACAACCCTGGTTACAGAAGACAAGGGATGCCCAGCTGAGAACCACAAACAGCAGAGGTACCCCAGGAACACACCACTGCCTATGCATTTCCTGTGGTCTAGAGGCACACAGTCCCACCCCATGCCCTGGTACGTCTAGCTCAGCAAAGTGACAGGCTGTTCCTTTATGCTCTGCTCTCAGCAGGGACAGCGTCCCCAGGGGCACATCAGCCATCAGCCAAGGCTTAATGTGTAAGGTTGGGTCTGCCCCAGCATCCTTCTGCTCTGTGCATGGCAATGAGCAAGGTTGTCACCTGCTCTGGGATGGATTTCCAGTTAAGAGCGTGGCCTGTCCCTAACTGACCAGCCTTATCCCGTCTTTCTCATACTATCCCCAACACAGCCACATAGCACTCTAGCTCCTGTCCCCATGAGTCTCTCAGAAAAAGCAGGCATCCCAGATGACACAGGAGCTCAGGCATCTGGCTGGACTCCATCTCACGGGTCCTGAGGTCTTTGCTGAGCACTAGCAACCAGGTCCCCTGTGATGGGGACATTGCTCTGATGGCCACGCACTCAGGCTTCACCCGCCCACCGTGCAAAGAGAAACGGCCACCTCCTGCTCCTGGAGACGTTGTCCTTTCCCAGAAAAATGCTGCAGCCCCCGTGCTCTTAGAGACTTTCCCAGAACACCAAGGCTTGCTGCCTGCCATCCCCAAATGCAGCTTCATGTCACCACAGCCTGGCTGAGGTGCAGGTGTCTTGGAGCCCTAGTACAGGCTCCAGTCCTCTCAGATACAGCTACTGCATGCTGAACCTGGTAAAGATGCACAGCTAACTTACAGGAAGAGGAGCAGCCAAACCTCCTCTTGCAGAGTGAGAAGCCACCAGCTCTTACCTGTTTTCTGGGGCACTCCTTGAGCTTTAGGACCAGGCTCTTCCTCTCCCTGCGTGGCGCTCAGAGGTGCAAGGACCAGAAGAAAGGCCAGAACAAGCCCTTGCAGGACCATGTTAGTGTAAAGACCCAGAGTAGGACCAAAATCTCAGCACCACTTGCTGCCTCCCAGCTCATGTGTCTGTAACTGAATGCAAGAGAGGTGCAAGCACAGGAAGGAAACAGCCACGCAGGGAAATTGCTTGTGTCGCAAGAGGCTGCCTCTCTCTTTGCAGAAAGAAACTCCCAGTGGTGTCAGAGCTGCTGCCTCTTGTTGGCTGTGTGTCATGGGGCATCCGGGCACAGGATCTCACCAGGAGGACCCCTGTCACTAGAATCACAGTGTCTCTCCTCAAACCCACCTTGTAAGCGGAATGCACTCAAGAAACACTGCTCACATTTCTGACACTATAGCTGCATGCTTCCCAAAGCCATGGCTTGCAGTCATAAGCTTTTTGAGCTTGAATCACTGCACTTTTACCTCAACAATCACAGCAGCCTAAGGTCCTCTGACAAGGTATGGAAAGAGCTGTCAAGAGTCAGTGTCAGGAAGACAGGTGAACTGCGAAGAGTACCTCAAGACCAGAAATACTCCTTAGCCCTTCTGAAAAACACATTCAACACACACAAAGCCTCTTCACAGAATCCCAGAGTCATCATCTAGTCCAAGCCCTCTGCTCAAGCACAGTCACTGAGAGCAGGCTGCCCAGGAGCCTGTCCAGACAGCTTTTGAATGTCTCCAAGGATGGAGACTGCACAACCACCCTGGGCAACCTCTTCCAGTGCTCTGTCACCCTCACAGTGAAGAAATTTTTCCTCATGTTCAGGCAGAACTGCCTGTGCTTCAGTTTCTGCCTGTTGCCTCTCGTCCTATCACTGGGCACCACGGAGAAGAGACTGGCCCCATCCTCTTGACACTCTCCCCCTTCAGATACTTATACACGTTGATGAGATCACCTCTCAGCCTTCTCTTCTCCAGGCTGAACAGGCCAGCTCTTGCAGTCTTTCTTCACAGGAGAGATGCTCCAGGCCCCTCATCATCTTTGTAGCCCTCTGCTGGACTCTCTCCAGTAGTGCCATGTCTCTCTTGTACTGGGGAGCCCAGAATTGGACACAGTACTCCAGGCGGGGCCTCACCAGGGTTGAGTAGAGGGGGAGGATCACCTCCCTCGACCTGCTGGCAACACTCTGCCTAACGCAGCCCAGGATACCATTGGCCTTCTTGGCCACAAGGGCACACTGCTGGCTCATGCTTAACCTGTTGTCCACCAGGACACCCAGGTCCTTCTCTGTAGAGCTGCTTCCCAGCAGGTCAGCCCCCAGCCTGTACTGCTGCATGGCGTTCTGCCTCCCTAGGTGCAGGACCCTGCACTTGCCTTTGTTGAACTTCCAGAGGTTTCCCGCTCTGCCCAGCTCTCCAGCCTGTCCAGGTCCCTCTGAATGGCAGCACAGCCTTCTGGTGTGTCAGCCACTCCTCCCAGTTTAGTATCATCAGCAAACTTGCTGAGGGTGCACTCTGTCCCTTCCTCCAGGTCATGGACGAATACTTTGAACAAGACTAGAGCCAGTACTGACCCCTGGGGGACACTGCTTTCTACAGGCCTCCAACTATACTCTATGTCATTGATCACAACCCTGTTGAGCTCTGCCATGCAGCCCTTTTTCAACCCACCTCACTGGCTACTTATCTATCCCGTATTTCATCAGCCTTGCCTATGACGATACTATGAGAGAGCATTATGTGTGAAGTCAAGGTAGACAACATCCACTGTTCTCCCTTTATCTACCCAACCAGTCATTCCATTGCAGAAAGCTATCAGATTAGTTAACCTGAGGTCCAGCAGAGCATCTGTCCTCGTTCATTCTCCTCTCACCTGTATCAGGAAGTTGTCATCAATGTTCTCCAGCAACCTCCTGCATTGCCTGTGCCCTGCTGTGTTGCTCCTCCAGAAGATATCAGCGTGGTTAAAGTCTTCCAGGAGGACCAGGGCCTACGAACACGAGGCTACTTCCAGCAGCCTGTAGGAGCCCTGCCCTCTGTTCTTCACACAGGACAGTCTTGCGTGCACAGAGAGGCCACGTCCATCAGTTCCCAAAACGGTGACCCCAGAATGGATTTGATGGTGCAGTGCAGAAGCATCAATGTGTCTGGTACAGGACTGGTGCTCCAGGGCACAGAAATCCTGGGGGACACGCTGATACCAGGTAGCACAAAAGTTCAGTCATCTGACGCAAGCACGAAAGGAAGCAGCAGAACAGGCGTGAAAGCAATAGCCTGCAGTGATTGCTACAGAGCACTGTTTGAGTGATTTCAGACAGACAACCAGCTGGCAGGAAGATGAAGAACAAATGGCAGCCATACAGAGATTGTGAAGAACAGGACTGGAGCCACAAAATACCCAGGAAAAGAGAACAGAGGCAGTAGAAGGTCAGACATTAGTCCAAAAGCTCCCCAAGGGAGAGAGAGGATACTGGGGCACCTGCACAGAGCGCCAGGAGAGGAAAGAGGGGTGATCAGACCTGGGGGCAGCAGAGGGCCTAAGAGCACCCAGGTCCCCCAGCTCTGCCCACAGATCTGCCCCAGACCTGTCTGGGGAAGCACTATCCATCCCCAATTTCCACCATACACCCCATGCAAATGCACGTGAGAGCTGCCCAGCACAGCCTGGGGGGGTTAGGGATGCCATCAGGGCTGGGGGGGGGGGCACAGCAGCCCTGCTCCCGGCCTCCCCTCCCCAGGACTCAAGTAGCTCAGCTCCCCGCAGGGGATGTGACTCAGTGAGAGAACCAGGCAGGAGCTGTAGCAGGGCAGGCTGCCCCCTCCAAATCACAAGCTTTTATTAATTGTAAGGACACAGCGGGCAGAGCCACAAGGCCAGTGCAGTGAGGCCAACATCAAACAGAACCATGGCTTTGGATGGACATCAGCATATGCAGCAGGGCAAGGGGCTGGGAGCTCAAATGGAGGCAGCAACACAGGCCAGCCCTCAGTTTCCCCATTATCCCAACCCTGTTCATTCCCCCTTGTCAATCAGCAGCAGCCACATTGGGCTCAGCTTTCTTCTTCCCTCTCTGCCCCACGTCAGTTCAGAGCAGCTCCATCAAAGCAAGCAGGTTACACCAACAAGAGCCCATGGGAAGGAGCTGCTTTTGTCCCAAAGGCCAGTCTTGGGCACAAGGGTCAGGGGCAGGCAACTTAATCACAACAGCAAAGGACTTTCAGCACACGTCTTTGCTGGTACAAGTAGTTTGTCCCAGGCCTAGGGCTGCTCTCACTCTGCAAGAGACCATGCTGGAGCTTGTTGAGGACTCTAAAGAAGCCGCTTGGTCTGCTGAAAGAAACAGCTCAGGCCTCTCCTGGATGGGGCTCCCAGAGCTGATCACAGTCACAGGAGGGCCTGGGGAGCTCTGGCTGAAGTCAGCACCAAGCTGACGACATCCTCCTTGTCTTCTCTGATCCCTCACTGTTCTGCCTGTCTCCTGTAATCCTGGGCAGAGAAGAGGGTGATGGCTCTTCAGCGTGGCCACCTTTACCTGTGGAGACCAAGAGCACCAGGGCCCTAGAGGCTGCCACGTACCCTTGGCACATGTGAGAGCAGCCAGGGCCTGGGGCCTGTCCCTCCTGCAGTCCCTCCTGGCAGAGCCTTTCCCACCACACCAGAGGGTGAGCATCCCCAGGCCCTGACCACAGCCCTGGGTCCCTCCAAAGGGCAAGAGACAAGTCTCCCCTTTGCACACTCCTCTTTGCTTGTTGCCACCGCTGCGCCAGGCTGGGGAGATGTGCCTGCAGCCTTGCTTGACTGCAGCCTGGGCCCCAGAGGGGAAAGTTATCCTGACCATCCAGGGTACCAGAGGACTGCAGAAAATGTGGGGCATGTCACCCCAGGATCCTTCTCCACCTTCCCCCCAGGGATGTGTGGGGACACAGTCAGGGCACTCTGGGTCCTACCTGCATCGTGTTAGTGTTAGGGGGGGCTGGGAGGGTGTTAGTGGGGGCTGGGAGGGTCCTG